CATTGCAACTATACACAGATCCTCCTGAGACAGATTCATAATGATGGAACCATTCTCTTCTTGAGGTCATGTGATATGTTGCTCCTAAATCAATGAGTCATATATCTGCAAATCTTTTTCTACCTTCCACGGTGGTTGACGCTTCACAGCATAGAGCATCTCCATCATCTGAAGTGTTTGCGGTATTGCCTTGTGGATTGGAGTTTTTATTTAGACTCTAACAATCATTCTTCAAGTGACCCTTCTTTCCACAGTTGTAGCACTTTAAATTCTTCTTGCTCATCGACTTCGATCTACCGTGTTTGTGACTGTTGCTTTGGCCACGTTCTATTGATCTCCCTCTCGTCGTTGTCAACGCTTCTGCTTATTGCAGATTTACTTGTTTGTCTTCCTTATTCTTGCGCCAATTTTCTTCTTGTAGAACAGCAGCTGCAACGTCATCGAAGACTAGACTGTTGACACTATTGTTTGTCAAGGTGATGATGAGTTGATCATACGAATCCGATAGACTTTGAAGTAGAAGTTCAGCACGTTATTGTTCTCCTATTTTACAGCTTAAGGATGTAAGATGAGAAAATAAAGTATTCAGTGTATTTAAGTGCTCCGTCACTGAAGTAGATTCTGGCATACGGAGAGTGTACAATTTTCTCTTAAGGAAAATTTTATTGTGCAATGATGTGGCCTCGTACATTTTGGTGAGATGATCTCATATCTCCTTAGATGTCTTCTTCTCCTCGATGCTTGACAATACTTCATCTGCTAATGTTAGATGAAAGTTTGCCATAGCATTCCCGTCCATTTCGATCCATTTGTTGTCATCTGTGAAATCTATCGGCCTTTCACTGATAGCTGCTAGACAACCGTCTTCCTCAGGATGGCCTTCATCTTCAATTTCCACAATGAGAAATTTCTCCCATAGAATTTTTCATTATCAAATTTCGTTGCCATAGCTTCTATTACAGATAGCTCCCACTATTTCACTATCATGAATAGTTCTCTAGAACCTTCAAAGAATTGGTAATAACTTCTTACTTTTTTATGTTGGAGGATCCATCTTTTGGTGGCAACCACAAAGATAATAAGTAGATATTACACACTCTAATTTGGCTCGGATACCAATTGTTGCGGAAGACATCTATAGAATAGAGCAAAATCACAACTGATAATTTGAGAAAATAAAAATGAAAATAAAAGAGACACAAAATTTAGGTAGAAAACCCCTAAATAATATATGGTAAAAACACGAGCAACGGTAGAAGAATTTCACTATGAGAAAATAGGAATTACAACTTCTCTCTATCTACCAAGGAGAAAACAATGATAATTCTCTCTTGATAAAAAAGAGAAAACAACTCTAAAAAAACTCTCTAAATTCTCTAGTATTGGAAGAAAGCTAGAATGTTTTGGGATGATTTTGAAGTTAAATGAGCTAGGGTATTTATAGTTGAAGCTTAAGGACTAATTTATAAATACCCTAAAGTTTAGTGACTAAAGTGTGTAAATATACCATCCATTTTCAACAAAAAAACAAATCACCTTTCGGTACATTAATTGTATGCACCTTTCGGTGCTTTAGTCAACACTAACATCGAGGAATTACTCTTCTGAGTTACCTTTTTTTAATGCCATGGATTTTCTCATTTTCCTCATGCTCCTTGTTACACTTTTACAATTCAAAATCAAGTGATCTAGACAAGTACATATATTCAGTCTTGCATTACTTCCCCTTTTCAATTGTCTTGGATGCCCCGTGAAATCGTGGTTTATCTAGTCTTCATTTTATTCACGAATAGTAGAATTTGACACGCATCTTATTTTCCCTCTATTCCGTTCTTCGGTTCTGTCAGGGACAAGGTTGCTCCTTGTGCTAAGCACTTTATAGGTAATGGTGGTACAACTCGGGGCGTCAATGAAAACAACACTCTGATTGACACGCATCGATTGCTTAGCACGTACATGCCTGCCTATGCTCAATCGATTATCAAGGGTGTTTCAATAGTTATGGTTTCCTACTCTAGCTGGAACGGACAAAAGATGCATGCAAACCATGAGCTAATTTCTGGTTTCCTCAAGAACTCACTTAAGTTTAAGTTTGAGCCTTGCATTACTGTTTATGATGTTTTGAAAGAGCTTTTCTAACAGCTTACCACGTTGCACATTTGTTTTCATCGCTTCAAAAGCAGACATTCATTCCTCACGTGCATTGATATATATGTATTATCGCAAACAAAGAAACGCTGACATTGTACTACGGTTGCATTCTTTTCCATCAGTAGTACCTACCTGTTGACACATATTGTTGTTTTCATGGATTTTCAGGGTTTCGTAATATCAGATTGGCAGGGAATATACAAGATCCCCTCTCCACCACATTCGAACTATACATACTCTATTCAAGCTGCGATTCAAGCTGGCATCGACATGGTTAGTAGCTTTTGTACATACATGTTTCAATAAAATCGAAGATAACTCTTTCCATAATTTAGTGCAAACTGGAATCTTGATGGTATCAATGCCATTCTAAGATTTGGAGTCTCTTGATTTGTGTTTCTGCAGGTCATGGTCCCCTACAACCTTACAGCGTTCGTACTAGATCTAACCGATCAAGCGAATAGTAAAGTTATTCCGATGGATCTCATTGATGATGCGGTGCAAAGAATTTAGCTAGTCAAATTCACTATGGGACTCTTTGAGAACCCTATGGCTGATTTTAGTCTAGTTCCTGAGCTCGGAAGCCAGGTTAGTTTGCATCACATAACATGTGAGATTATTTTCATCTCTATCCGGGTTTTCTCCGGATATATAGACCTGAAGATTAATATCCAGTACCGTGTTTGACTGTTTTCTGTAAACAAATCATTATTTATCGGCGTTTCTAATTTTCTACGAATCATAGTCCATGTGCTCTTTGTAAAACTCATTCTATAAATGATTTTATATCCCATTACTTATCAAGGCACACCGAGACTTGGCTAGGGAAGCTGTGAGAAAATCATTTGTATTGCTGAAGAATGGGAAACCCGGAAGTATTCCACTACTGCTCCTTCCGAAAAAAGCTTCAAAGATCCTAGTTGCTGGCACCCATGCTGATAATTTGGGTTATCAATGTGGTGGATGGATAACGCCACAAGGGGTATGCTTTACTTCATTTATCTTTCAAAAGACTGGACAGCTTACAAGTTTCCGATTGCAATAAATTTACTAATACTTTTTCAATGACTAGGAGCAACAATCCTTGGTGCCGTAAAAGATACCGTCGATCGGAGTATTGAAGCTGTTTACCGTGAAAGCCCTGATGCCAACTTTGTGAAATCTAACAAATTTGATTATGCTATCGTTGCTGTCGGTGAGCCCCCTTATGCCGAGACTGCAGGGGATAGCACAGACCTTACGATGATGGACCCTGGCCCAAGCGTCATTAAAGATGTCTGTGGAAATGTCAAGTGTGTGACTGTTATTATTTTAGGCAGACCCATCATGATTGAACCATATGTTTCTGCCATTGATGCTCTAGTGGCTGCGTGGTTACCGGGCACTGAAGGCCTAGGTGTGACCGATGTCCTTTATGGGGATTACGGATTCAGTGGAACACTTCCAAGAACATGGTTCAGAAACGTAGATCAATTACCGATGAATGTTGGGGATTCACACTATGATCCACTCTTCCCCTTCGGATTCGGGCTTAAAACCGATTCAGGCACGAGCATTGTTTCAAGGTATTCCTCATTACCTATTTTGATAACGATTCATGCATGGATCATATGAGAATTTCCTTCCAATGAATGAAATGTCACGGCTGGCCCTATTGGCCCCCCGTGTAGAATGTCCTGTGTTATAGCATGCCGGGTTCAATAAGTCACGTAACTTCCATAGCAGTCCTAGAAACGCTCATGTCTGTAGCAAATCCGAATCATTACTTAAAATCAAGACAAGAAAAACAAAAACAACTTATAATGTACAAACCCCATTTTATGAAAGAATTTTTAGTTTTCGGAACGGATTATCTGATTAATTGCATGCCTGTTCCTTTCTTACACGGTTGATGGTGTTATCTGCAGGTCCATCTCATCTGTAGTTTCATTAAGGCCATGCTGGTGTATCCTTATGATAACCATCATTCTGAGTTTCTGTTTCACAGGTACTTTCGAACCGATTTCAGTTTTAAAGCTCTATATCCGTTTGCGTTATCGATGAGCCCGTTTGATAAATTTGGCAGGCAAATGGCTGAATTAGTGGAAGTTTTATTTCAAAGACGGCTGCACCCAAGGTGGTAGGATTCGGACCCAAGGCTGGACTCGTTTAGGCATTGCTCAACATTTTATGATGTCAAAGCAATGCCAAATGTGATGGTAGTAGCAGTTTCAGCCATTCTTAGTTGTAGACACCATTGGTGTTCTGAACTTTTTATCAACCAATGTACTGAATCACCTTTATGTTGCAATTTTTTTATTTACGTAAATTGCTTGCGTTTTACTTAATTCCATTTATTTCTTTCAATTTTATGAATATCCATATTGAATATATATTTGTATCTGATGGGATGAGAAGTTAATATATTATCCAGAAAGACCGAGACAAAAAAATGATTCCCCAAAAAGAAAATATTTTAATAATCGATTATAGTGTTCAATCACTATTCAAAAATAATATTCAACTGTTAAGTTTTTTAATAGATAAATTATTGAATGGTTACACTTTTGTTCATTAAATAAAAAATAATGTTTTAATCTTTTACATTATCATCATTATCATTATCGTTATGTTTCGATAACTAACATTTATAATTTATAACGTTTTCATTATTCACACGTTAAATATTATAGTTTGATTATATGACACATTAATAAAAAGAGTTAATTTTTAGTTTGTTCTCTAAATTTTAGATAAAATATTAATTTGACTCCCAAACTTCATATAAATATCAATTTGACCTTTAACTTTAAGATAAAATATTAATTTAACTCATGAGTCCGATTACCGATTAAACTGAAGTTCCAAGTTCGATTAACTTGGTTACAAAGTACAATTTCCAGATTATGACAACTAAAAACAGGCAGTGCAACTGTAAAATCAACAGGGCTGTAACAATCTCAGCCGAAGTATCAGTTTAATATAAAATCAGATCACACGTATGATTCCATACGACTTTCATCAGCAAAAATCATGTAGTAAACAAAGTTCTTTCTTTAAAGAAAACCCCTAATCTCCCAATCTCCAACTGAGCAAACCCTAAAACTCATGCCAAAGCAAGAGGTTAAATGTATAACCCAAACGTATACAGCACCACTGATCATACCTAAGGGTTGAGGCTCCGAAGCAAGAGGTTAAATATGGAACCTGATCTTCTGAATTCGCATTGTAGTTCACAGTGGAGCAGAGGCTGAAAAACAAAGCTAAATGGCTTTAACAATGGTATATCGAGTTTGACGAGAATCAAACGGATAATAATAACAGAGTGTGTACCAGTTCAGAATTTTATGCTATGCAGAAGGAATTGCATTATAGCCTTTCTCCTCAAGAATTTGGGCTAAGGAGCTGTCTCCTGTCTTTATGATTCTTCCGTCCTCCTGGAAATATTAAATGAGAACATGATCAGATCAGGACAAAGATATACAAGTTATAAGTGGTGACTAAATAAAAATTAAAAGAAAAAACAACAATACGAGTTAGGATGTCCAAAAAATCTGGTTAAGACAGAGACTCAAGGAACTCAGTTAAACAAAGCAGAACAATGTCTTACATCTGGTACTGTTTTAAGATTGCTCTCAATACCTAATTAGAGCATGAAAAGACGATTAACAGTAGCAAAACTACAAATCAAAATAAGATAGACTCATCCAATAGGGTGCAATTTCACGAACACCAATCAGAAACGGGCCGGCCAATGAAACTCGAGTTAATTTGCTGATCAGTTGCAATCATGAATGTCCGCCAATGTACACGTAGACTATAGTTCAGCTAAAATCTCAGCTTATATTTTGTCAGTTACTGACTCATGTTTGAGTTTGTTATCTTTCTAAAACTATAAGATATGCCAAGGAGGACAAACCATCCAAACCATGTAAGTTACCATGAAAAAGTCCTTTGTGATTTAGTTAGAGAGTTTCCGATGGTGAAGCCACATGCACCACTTTTCCAGAGAATAGATGACGTGGGTAAGAAGAAAAACAACAGTTATCAAAAGAAATAAGACTGAACAAACGAGTAGGAAAGAGGATAGAACTCTAGAAAAACTTGTGGTTAAAGGAAACCTCTAGTTTTCTTTTAATTCAAAGAAAATAATGGCTGTAATATTTTTACAGCTTATTTATACTAGGGTTACAAAGATAATTTAATCCTAGCCCTTGAATTAAAACAGAAAGGAAACTTGTAATCCTAGCCATCCAAAATATCTCTAATATTTAATAAAACTGAAATAAATAAATAAAATAAGTATATAAGCTCCTGCGTCAAAAGAAAATCAACATATTATACACTTGATCGGTGCTTTGAAGTTCTAAATGACTCACCATAATATGGATGAATGTTGGTTTAATGAACTCCAACAGCCGTCGATAATGAGTTATCATCAAAACTGAGTTCTTCAGAGTCAAAAGGCCATTTACTGCTTTTGCTACATCTCGAAGGGCATCAACATCTAGTCCAGAGTCAATCTCATCAAGTATAGCAAAGTCTGCTCCAAGAACCTATAAAATATGGAGATGAGGGAAAAATTGATTTTCTTAGCTTCTATGCATTATGTAACCAACAAACCTATAAGAAATAAGAATTATAACTCACTGTCTCTCTCTTAGGGAGAGGAGCAGCACGGATTTGAACTCAAGGAATCCAAAACAAGCAGACCTATACTCTATATTTTTGGCATACAAGAAAACATCCAAAGTATGTGGTGTGGTTTAGGGAGAAAACAGCAGTAAATCAATAAAACTAGAGAAAATAACCTCAGTGACCAAAAATTCCAGATAATATACGATTTTGACCAACTTTTTTTGGATTTGCGAAAATGACCAACAAAATCGCAATGCGATCTTTAATTCGCATTGCGATCTCCACTATCGCAAATTCGCGTTGCATTTCGCGTTGCGATAGTTGAAAATTCCATTTCGCAACGATAGTCTACAATGTCGTTGCGATTTTCCAAATTTCGCGTTGCGATAGTCTACAATGTCGTTGCGATTTTCCAAATTCGTTGCGATAGTCTACAGTTGTCGTTGCGATTTTCCAAATTCGTTGCGATAGTTTAAAAAAAGATTTTGTTTCTCTAAAAAGATAGTATCCGCGCGGACGTGTCGAAGACACGTATTACCACGACCACGACCACGACCCGAGACGGACGGCGGCGGCGACACGCGAGAGTCCCTCTTGTTCTCTATCACTCAACAAGGAAGTGGGAAAGCCAAGCCTTAAATAACATTCCCAATAGTGTTTCCAATACTATGTGGGATTTGAGCATTACCAACACTTGTTCCCAATACTATGTGGGATTGAGCCTTAAATAGTGATATTATTTTTGAATGTTTTGTTTAAAATTGCAATAATCGCGATTGATTGTAGATTGACTTTTAATTATGACATATTTAATCGTATAATACTAATGCAATTGGTTGCTGATTCAGTTGTTTTAAGATGCATGATTGTTAATTGTTTCCTGAATAATCACATTGTATTGGAAACAAGTGTTGGTAATGCTCAATCCCACATAGTATTGGAAACACTATTGAGAATGGTATTTAAGGCTTGACTTTCCCACTTCCTTGTTGAGTGATAGAGAACAAGGGGGACTCTCGCGCGCCGCCGCCGCCGCCGTCTGTCTCGTCTCGGGTCGTGGTCGTGGTCGTGGTAATACGTGTCTTCGACACGTCCGCGCGGATACTATCTTTTTAGAGAAAATTCTTAAGAAACAAAATCTTTTTTTTAACTATCACAACGAATTTGGAAAATCGCAACGACAACTGTAGACTATCGCAACGCGAAATGGAAAATCGCAACGCGATTTTCAACTATCGCAACGCGAAATGCAACGCGAATTTGCGATAGTGGACATCGCAATGCGAATTAGAGATCGCATTGCGATTTTGTTGGTCATTTTCGCAAATCCAAAAAAAGTTGGTCAAAATCGTATATTATCTGGGATTTTTGGTCACTGAGGTTATTTTCTCATAAAACTATCGCTGACAACAAGTAAGATGGAAGTTGCAATTCTTGAGAGAAAGGGTCATAAAAGCCACCGTTTAAAAAAAAAACAGCAGCAAATCAATAGAACTATCACTGGAAACAAGATGGAAGTTGCAACTCTCTTTTTTTCCTTTTTTGGGTTGGGGGGAGGGGGGATAAAAAAACTCTTGTTTTTAAAGTCCACTAATTAAAAGAACATAAAAAATAGCTGTAAATCTATTTTACAGCTTATTTATACTAGGATTATGGACTTTAATCCTATAGCTATATTAAAATTATAAAGATAACATATAATCCTAGCCATCCATGAAATTATAAAATGGCATAAAATGCATTACTATATATAAGCTGTGAACTGCAAATCAAAGTTCTACCAAGAATCTCCTTTGCAACTAGAAAATGAAGACATAGACACAGTTCAATTGATTGACACAAAGAAATTGATCTATCAACCAATAGATGAATCGTACAAAACAATTCCACAATGAAACTGCCAAGAACATATATCATATTACCGCAAGCTGCAAAATCTCATTGCGCTTCCTTTCACCTCCACTGAATCCTTCATTGACATTTCGGTTAAGGAAGTCAGTCTTCATGTTCACGAGATCAAGTTTAGGATATATATAAGCATAGAACTGCAAGAGTAAAATGATGCGATTATTATAATCAAGAGCGTGATTATTGTGTTTTCCATATATTTAAGAGCTTACAAATTAGAAGAATAACCATCTAGAAGTAACCTAACCATGGAAACTTTTGATCTTCTCATATTGTTATTGATTAAACGGGGAGAACAAGAAAAAGTCAATAATGCATTAGAAAGTTCTTTCATAAATAGGTTGGGAGGGCAGTTCATATACCTCAAGTGGACCAAGCTCGGGCTGGCCAAGTTTTTTCCTTCGAGCATTGTATGCCATGTGCAAAAAGTCAATATTGTTCACACCTGGGATCTCAACCGGTGACTGGAAACTCATAAAAAGTCCGGCAAGAGACCTTTCCTCCGGCTCCATGTCAAGCAAATTCTCTCCCTTAAACACAACACTGCCTCCGGTCACCTCATAATCCGGATGCCCAACAAGAACCTATAATAAACAGATTCTGTCAAGGTTTTCCAATAAATAATTCAGAAACCAGACTGTTTTGACCATTTCCAAGTAACTTCGTTCACACCCCAATTTAAGATAAAGGAAAACGATTACTTTAATGAACTTGAGATTTAGCTCAGTAGGTTTGTATAGTCATCTGCAACTCTTAGCCTATTCTCTAGCTATAAACTGCTTTATAATATATAAATCTATATATTTGAATACAGGTGAAAAAAAATGCTGACCTTAGAAAACGTACTCTTCCCGGAGCCATTCTTTCCCATTATAGCATGGATCTAATAAAAATAAACAAACATAATTTATTTAAAATAAGAGTCTAATGTAACAAGATTCATTCATACAAATTAAAGTATTAGGAATATAGATTCAAATTGACCTCTCCATGGTTAACGACGAGGTCGACGCCTTTGAGGATCTCCTGCTTGGTTTCAGCAATCACAGCAGTTAAGCCTTTGACTTCGAGAAGAGGCGTCTTATTGTTACCAAGACCGTCGACGGATGTGGGAGATTCGACGGAGGATATGGAAGCGGCGACGGGCCTAGGAGACGGAACGTGAGTGAAGCGTAAACGGAAAGAGCGAGTGAGCGGGAGAGGAAGAGACGGGGAAGAAGAAGATTTTCGTTTGAAGAAGGGAAGAGAAGGGAGTGGTGGTGAAGCCGTGCACTGAATTTGCCAAACCAAAGCCATTGCCAAACAATAATTTTTTGTTCCTGTTTTATTTGGTTATTAAAAACTATGGATTTTAATTCTGGGTCGAGTTGGCCCACCACCCTGATTTCAAAAAATTCTAAGCCCAAATTCGTTGCCCCATTTTATTATTCAATAAAAAAGTTTTGAAATTAAATTTAAATATTTTTTATATTAATAATGTTTGGTTCATTAGACACTTTCGATAATAATTCATGAAATTATTCTTATTAAATAAAAGATAATTTTTATGTATTTTTTATTTAATAATAAATATTTAATTTAATATTTAATAATAAATTGATAATTTTTAACAATTTTATTTTTAATTATAATTTTTTTTATTTCTCTAATGCATTACAATGTCTACAATTATATTTTTGGCTCAAGTAGATATCAAAAATGAATTTTCAAAAAACATTATCAACTTAATGGCGATTTTTTTTTAGATAATGGTGTGGAAAAATGAATTTTATAATAAAATGTTGAATTTTTTTTTTCAAATAGGATGAATGTTGCGATATTAATTTAAATTCGTCAAAATTATTTGACATCTTTCGAAAGATGCCCAAAAGACACGACGTTTTCATGCATTAGGTTTTGTATTTGTATTCTTCGTTTTTCCAGGCTTTATCAATAAAGTCAGCTTCTTTGTCATCTTCGTTTAGTATTTCTGCAAGCTCAAGAACACCAACAAACGACATCACCATTCTCGCATCTAAAGCCATGCAAAGAGGTCCAGAAAACGTCAAATTTTTCATACGTCTTCATGAAGACGTTGAATGATCTATATGTCTTCCTCAATCTACCGTAAAGAACATATTTGAAAAAATAAATTCTAATGATCTTTATTTGAGGAATTTTTTTCACCTCTTTACTTGGGTGATTTTACCTCAAGTTAATATTAGAATAAATTTATAATTTATAAATCAAATTGACGTAGGAATTGATTTGAGATGTCAAATCAACATCTTCAAGCTGGACATCCTCTCTGGAACCTCATCATAGCTATTCACAATAAAACCTTTCACTTTCTAAAGTTTGTACATTAACCCCCGTCTTTCCGCGGTCTGCAATGCATAAATGGAATCGGAGACTCAATGTGGAAAAACTGGATCAGTAAATTAAACCAATCAGCCTTCTGATTCCAGTTCAACCAGTTAGCTAACCAAAACAATGTAAATTACATTCTTTATTTAAATACCAAGTTCAGTGTCAAATAAATATTGAATATAGTTTGCAATTAGTCAATTACTATAAGTATGTGTCACGATCAGAGGAGAAGCGATAAGAATCGGAGCAAGAGAATTGGGGAAATCAGAGAAAGGGTTAGGGATTTGGAATTGGGACTGGACCTAACACGTTTTACAGCCTCTAAGAATAAGAAATATCTTGCTTAGCTGTGCAGGTGGTTACTCAGTATAACCAGGACTGCCAGCTGTAGGGTAAATATGAGAACACTGTAATTATATAAACCATGTACTAGAGAAGGAGAAAGTATGCTTTTATTGAATGAATTCTAAGTTTCTTGAATCTCTTCTTTTCTCTCCTTAATCTTAATTCTCTCAATTCTTCGTCTAAATTCTTCTCTAATCTCCTAGGGTCATAACAATTGGTATACAGAGCCACAACTCCTGGCAAAGCAATGGCTGCATACTCTGTTTTTTCTGCGGTTCAACAGCAGATTGAAGACTTATCAAAGCTAGTGAAGCAAGAACAGTACCTGGAGACAAAGATTGCAATGAATAAGGGTCGTTTGGAGCAGATTCTAAGGAACTTGACATGAAGGACAAACCAGGAACCACTAAGTCCGAAAACTGAGCAAATTTATGGAGAGAAAAAAATGGGTCAGCTTTCACTTGGTGAGTCTAAATCCTTCTTCTTTACTCCTAAAAAAATATTATCAGTGACAATAGACGAAACATATGATGTTTCACAAGTGTTCGATAAAATGTCAGCAAGAGTAGATCATGTGGTATTCCCATCCATCACCGGTTCCATGAAGGTTGATTCACGGCTGTAGTAGAAACAAACCACAGAAGATTACAAGGCTGTTATGAGGGCTGAGTTAAATTTTGAACAGGGACATCAACTTCAAAATCAAATGAAGATTACAGATACACTAAGAAAGAGAATCGCCCCTTATTATGATACAAGATGGAGGGTGGACCATTATCAACTGAGGAATATTGGAGATGCAAACGTGGAAGCCAAAAATGGGAAAGAATTAATGATAGAATCTGAAATGGGGTTGGTTTAGAAAACTATCGATGCATGCTTTTACCAACACTGTCTCAATTTGCAACCTAATCATTCCCAAGCACTTACCAACCTGGGGAATATATATATATATATGGAATGGAACATGGTTGTTGTTGCTTCTTACTATAAGGCTACATTGGATGTCTCAACATTCTGCCTGATACTGTATGATACTAATGGCTTTCTGGAAAAGAACTGAGATCCTCTGAACTCGGGATTGGTCCAACTTCTGTCATCCTATAGTGGCCAATTGCCACAATCATTTGCCAAAAAAAATGCTTGATCAGTCTTTGAAACCAGTGATTTCATCTGAATACACGAAGCTAAGTGTTGTTACGAAATTCAAGGGCCAATTTTTTGAACTAATGCACCAGTTAGAGAATACAACACCTCACTTTATTCGTTGCATAAAACCAAATTGCAAGCAGGTCCCTGACAAGTTTGAAAAGGATGTTGTCCTGCACCAACTTAGATATTGTGGAATTTTGGAGGTTGTTAGAATCTCAAAATCAGGATATCCAACTCGAATGACACATCAGAAGTTTGCAGAAAGGTATTGGTTCCTACTTTCGGAGACCAACACACCTCACGATCCATTAAGCATTTCAGTTGCTCTTCTAAAACAATTTAACGACCTCCCTGAAATGTATCAAGTTGGCTATACGAAATTGTTTCTTCGAACCAGACAGATCTGTGCATTGGAGCATAGGAGAAAACAGGTGTTGCGAAAAGTAATTGGGGTTCAAAAGTACTTCTGCGGTCACCGAGCTCGTTGCCTTTTCCTTGAGCACAACAAAGGAGCAAAAAATATACAATCACTTGTTTGTGGTGAAAGTATCCGAAGAAAGTATGCTATTGAGGCCAATAAGTGCTCAACATTTGCTTCTCAGTTACTTGATGAGAAGTTGACATCAGTTGTATATTTATAATCTGTAATTCGTGGGTGGTTAGTTCAGAGAGATTTTGATAACAAGCATAATTCAAAACAGTTGAACCATCTAAGCATAAAATCTAAACGAAGGACTGGTATGAAGGTTTCTGAGGCAAAGGTATTCCCCACGGTTGACATGGAAACACAACACGAGCAGCAGATTCAAGTTGTCCCTTCTGTTATGGCAGAGCTTCAAAGAAGGGTACTCAAGGCAGAAGTAAATCTGGCTTATGCTTATAAAGACAGTGGAGATGTGGAAACTGCCGTCAAAAGTTATAAGCAGGCACTGTTTTTTCGACCTAATTTTCCTGAAGCTAATTGTAACCTCCTACATACATTACAGTGTGTGCGCAACGGGGAGAAACTCGATAAAATGTTTACCGAGGTTGAAGGAATTATCCGAAGGCACATTACTACGTCAGTTCATTTCAGTGTGCAACCTTTCTATGCCATAGCATATCCTATTGATCCAATGCTTGCCCTTGATATAAGCCTTAAATATGTTGTTCATTGGTTCATAATTGCATCACGTTTTGCATGCTGCAACCCATTGTATCAAATAGATCCTGAAATCTTTAACACTTGGTGTAATATTCTCAAGTGCGTACCAAATAGTGCACATTGGCTCCTTAAATTTCCAGTTGTTGGAGAAATAAGACTGCGAGTGTATGCTGCTGCAGAAGGAGTACAACCAGACCAAATTATTTTCACTGATGTGACCATGAAACAAGAACATAGTAGGCACAGTGCTTTAGCTGATCTATGTCTTGACACGCCTTTATGCAATAAATATACTACTGGCACAAATGCGTTATGGGCTGGCTTATCTATGGTGATTCTGCCTCTCAAAAAAATGGTTACAAGGTTTGTTGGATCACTTTGTCTAGCTACTGGTTTGGATATGATTGTGCATAGTATGAAGGATTACGAAGAAGGGGTGGTTGAATTCGCATTAAATAGACCAAGGCTCCAATCTCTCACCAGCAAGCTCAAGGAAGTTTGTATGACATGGTCGCTTTTCGACACAGCACGCTGGGTGCAAAATCTGGAGAGAGCATACTTCACAACGATTATTGAGGGCATGATAGGATATGTTCATCTTCCAACTATAATTCTCAAACCCAAGGAATACATGAATCAAAGGTTTAAGGCATGGGGTGTGAAGGCACAAAGCAAAATGGAAATTTATAGAAATTTGAAGGTCGAGGGCCGAGTTTACTTGAAATTCCAGTCTTACCATCAAACCTCACTTGCTCTTCGAAAGGGATTAAAGCTGGTAGCAAGGTTCTATGGTTCTATAGTGATCGACAAACGTAGGGAGCAGGAGCACAATCAGATACCGTTGATGAAATTAGGACTGGAAAACGTCACGGTGGTAAATTATATTGTACTTCCAGCATAATTCTCATATTTTGATCCTTGGGGACAAGGATCATTTCGTGGGGAGGGTATTGTCACGATCAGAGGAGAAGTGATAAGAATCGCAACAAGAGAATTGGGGAAATCAGAGAAAGGGTTAGGGATTTGAAATTAGGTCTGTACCTAACACGTTTTACAGCCTCTAAGGATAAGAAATATATTGCTTAGCTGTGCAAGTGGTTACTCAGTACAACCAGGACTGTCAGCTGTAGGGTAAATATGAGAACACTGTAATTATATAAACCATGTACTAGAGAATGAGAAAGTATGCTTTTATTGAATGAATTCTAAGTTTCTTGAATCTCTTCTTTTCTCTCCTTAATCTTAATTTTCTCAATTCTTCGTCTAAATTCTTCTCTAATCTCCTAGGGTCATAACAGTATGGATTTCACTTAATGGTATAAGCTTTAGCATAAAACAA